ACAATATTGTTTTTACCTACTAAAGGCAATATAATAATTGCATTTTCTATCTATAATAACAACACTCTTACACTTTTATCTTAGGAACGTAGTTTACTTTTTCTACAAGTACATTCAACGTACTTAAATTTCCTTTTCATAGCAGCAACACAGTTCCTATTCATAGTAGCAACACATTTATACTTTCTATTAGGGCTTACAAAATTGTACCATGGAAAACCAACCAACATGGTACCAACCGAACCAAGAAACTTGGTAGTCAATATATTTGATAGCCAACATATTTGGTTGGTAGTACCGTACCAATTGATCAATGTTGGTACGGTAATAGTACAAAAATTGGAATACCATCGTAATACCGTACCAACCAATTCATTTGATATATATATATATATATATATATATATATATATATATATATATATATATATATATATATATATATCAACTGTTATTGTATTTAGTGTTTACAGTTTCAAATAACATTATATTAGTAATTTGATCGTTTTAGTCAATAGTTATTACTACGTTAAAGTACAATATTAAAACGTTACTTTAGCGTTACTTCAGTAGAATTCTTTTGTAAACTAAAAGAACTACATAAATAATTTCTATACTACACATCAAAATCCCGATGTCTTTGCTTGTTTTTAAATCTTATAATAGAAAATTAAAAGAAGTTAGTATATACCATTACCAATTTGTACCAACCAAACTTATTGGTAACCAAATAAATTGGTACCAAGTATAGTTGGTATGGTACCAGTAGCAATTTTTTTATACCAATTGTAGTTGGTACAGTATACGGTTTAGAAAAATATGAATTGGTACCATACCAATTTCACCTCTATTTTCTATAAAGAAGTATAATGGCCTTAATTAAAAAAGTATATCCATAGATGACATACTAGAATTTGGGGCCCCGAGCAAAATTTGCTCATTACACATCAAATCAATTTAACAAATTACAAATGGGCTTAATTAAAGAAGTATAATGTCCTTAATTAAAGAAGTATATCCATAGACTAGATATGTGCCGCGCAAAGCAGCGACGATAAATAATTTTTTAGGCGAATAGTTTTCTTACGGGAAAATAATTATTAAATTTTGTTATTAGTTATTATGTAATAAGAAAAATTACCACTTTTAATTAAAATATTTATGTTTAGAACTTATATTTATATTGTATGTTTATACATTAGATGTAAATTAATTATTATCGACATCTAGTTTAAAAAATATAAATTAACTTAGATGGATTTAATATTTTAAAATTGTTATTTTGCTCCAAATTAATTTTTTAAAAACATTACTTAATTCAAGTTTTTAAAGTTTTGACAAGTATTAATGGTTTTGTTATGTATAATCGATTTGTACAAAAAGCTTTGTAATTTATACCTCTTAAAATTCAAAATATGACTAATATGTATCATATATATAATATAAGATGACATACTAGAATTTGGGCTCCGAAGCAAAATTTGCTCATTACACATCAAATTAGTTTAACAAATTACAAAACATTCACATAACAACAAAAAAACAAACAACTTTAATAACTCAAAAACCAAACATACCGCTTTAACAATTTAAAAATCCATAAATATACTACTGATCATATATGTTTAACAATTTGTTGAACTTAAGCATAACAAACTAACAAACCAAAAAAACCATTTTTACAATTTTAAGAAAACAAAACATACCACTTTATTGAAAAGTTTTGGTTTCAAAAATTTAAACTCAAACCCAAACCAAAATCAATGGGTTCGGTTTCTCAAATTTAACGGGTTCAATTTCGGTTTGAGCGGTTTTAAATCCATAAACATTAAACCTAACCACAAAATCACCATTTAACCAAAGGTTAGGTTGGGACTTAGCAAGTTTTAAGATTTAAGAATATAAGAAACCTTATATACATGGATACTGCATGCATTTGAATGAAAAGGAAGGAAGGTACTTGTTCGTTTATATAAGGGATAATGATGGCTTGATTTCTGTATTTATTTTAGCTTTCGTTTTATTTTAGTTTAGCATTTTTTTTTTTTAATTTTCTTTTCGCATTAAAAAAGTAGATTTATAATTTCACTCGTTTAAGCTAATGTTGTGTAGATTTTTTGGAGGAAGATGGTAATTTGGAGCATCCTTAAAGCCACATCGAGTACATTGCAACAACGATTGACGTTCCGTAACAAAATCCGTGAGCGACAAGGAAAACAAAGCGCTATAAATCTATTTTCGGATATTGACAGCATCACACGATTTTCTTTAAACAATTAGACGGAAAGGCAAACGTTGTCCAATTAAGCTGAAATTTCACGGACGTCTTCCCGACTTTGTTGATCTTCGATCTCACAAAAAATAAACTGATTTCGACAAGTTTTGATACGGTTTTGGGCCTCTCAAAGAGTTGGACAGAAAGTTGCCTTCATTATATTCAACATCCCAATAAGAGAATTAATTGCGGCCCATTCCAATTAATTGAAGCCCATTTTATCTTTTGTTGTTGGAGTGGGGCATCCAGCCTAATAAGAGAGTTAATTGTACCCCATTCAAATTAATTTAAACCGATTTTTTCTTTTGTTGTCGGAGTGCCTCTGAGCACAAAAAGAAAAGAGATGGATCATGGACGTCGCATTTTCATTTATACAACAGAAGAGATGAAAAATACACACATGACAATAATTGAACTCAAGACCGCAACCGCTAAGATGAGGTATTCAACCATTCGAGCAAGAATTTGTTTGAGTTATCCATTGGCTAAGTATAAATATATATATTTTATAGTTTTTGTCTATGTTTGATATATATATATATATATATATATATATATATATATATATATATATATATATATATATATATATATATATATATATATATATATATATATATATATATATATATATGATTAGGTTCATTTGAGACCACTTATATTTTGTGAGACCGTGAGACGCATTTTTTTTATTTTATTTTTATTTTTTTTAGTTAATTCATGTTCCGAAAATAATATTTAAATAAAGAATTTTTTGATTTTTCCATTTATTTTGCATTTTAAAATTATTTTTAGAATATGTACAGTGTAATATTCTATTTAGAATATTTCACGTATTTTAAAAAAAAAAAGAATTTTTTTTATTTATTTTAGTTAATTCAAGTTCCAAAAATAATATTTATAAATTTTTTTTTTAGATTTTTCCATTTATTTTGCATTTTAAAATTATTTTTTAGAATATGTCAGTGTAATATTCTATTTAGAATATTTCACGTATTTAAAAAAAAAACGGAATTTTTTTATTTTATTTTTTACTTTTTTTATATTTTTTTTAGTTAATTCAAGTTCCGAAAATAATATTTAAAATTTGTTTTTTTGGATTTTTCCATTTATTTTGCATTTTAAAATTATTTTTAGATTTGGTCTCACGGTCTCACAAAATTAGAATCGTATCAAATTAACCTGAACCTATATATATATATATATATATATATATATATATATATATATATATATATATATATATATATATATATTATGAATTTGAAAAATCTTCGTGCAATGCTTAATGATCCGACATGTTTGGATGAATTTTATTCGTTTTTTTAATCCCAAAATAATCGAGAAAACGATGGAAACGAAGAAGATGATATGTAGGGATGAGTTTTATTTATATATTATACTTGTTGTCACGCTTTACTACTTGTTAGATTGTAAATTTTTTAGTTGTTTTATGTAATTACCGGAGACATTATTATTTTTTATATTTAATAGGATGTTATGTAATTACCGGACGATACTATTACCGGCAACATTATTACTTTTTATATTTAATCTAATGTGCGTGTGATTACCGGCGACACTATTACTTCTGATATTTAATCGGATGTTTGTTTTTTAATTAGCTTTGACACTATTATTTTTGATATTTAATCAAATGTCGTTATGTAATTACCGGCGATATTCTTATCGATAACCAAAATCGTTGAATAAAAAAAATTAAAAAATGAAAATTGTTATTACCGGCAACACTATTACCAGCGACATTATCATTACCGGCGACATCATCATTACAAGCAACGACACTCTTTACCGACGACAAGCTTATTAGCGGTGTCAATTTAATCAATATCGACGAAATAGTAGCGGCGATTTATTACCGACAACGTGCCGCCGCTATTATTATTATCGGCGACAATTTGACATTTTAGGAGCGACTTTTATCGCGGATAATTATCTTTTTTCCTTTTCTTGCAGTGACATGATAATAATTTAAAAAAAAAGTTCATAGACAAAGTTGTGAAAATGAAGTTAGTGAGTCAAAACGTAATTTCTGTTATTGACCAAGTCTAACTAATATAAAAGTACAACCACTTTTCTTCTATTTTAATTGGTCAATATCAAATCTTTTTTTGCAATCGATCGCGCGCCATGTGACTCAAACTCAAAGTTAAACTTAAGTCGTAAAAATATTATTGTTTTACACGCATGTTGTAAATATTATAACAATGAAATATTATAAACTCTCAAACAAAATATTCAAATAGAAAAAAAATTCATATTATAAAAAATTATCATTTTTCTATGTATTTACTCATTTTTATTCCGTATATATTTGTCATTAAGTTTACATTTATTGTACAAAAACAACCATTAAATCATAATTTTGTACATGATCTACTATCAAACTAATTCATATATACACTTAGTCGCTTTCATATATTCTGGCCATCAACAATTCTTTGCTTATTTTCTCTGGCGAACATAAGTAGATATGGATATGCCTATTAACCTGTTCAAATTATTAGTGCCTCACAACTGAACATCTTATATTTTTTACTCTGGAAATCATATATTAATTAGTGGCAACGCAACATGAAATATTATATCATCTTTTAGGAGGGGAGACTTTCAAAGAAAATATATTATATTACTTACTGACCTAAAACCGGATACTTATAAATGGATGATTCGTAAGATGGTTTAAATGAACGCACACAAAACAATGGAGTATCATACTTTCTTCCTCTTACTGTGTTGTCTTTTCCCATTCATCTACGCCTTCACCATTTGCAATTCCAGTAGACGCAACTTACGGTTACCGCCGGGACCTAAAGGTTTCCCCATCATCGGAAACCTCCTTGAAATCGGTGCCAACCCCCACCACTCACTTGCCATACTATCTAAATGTTATGGTCCTATAATGTCACTTAAGCTCGGAAGCAGGACAACAATCGTCATTTCTTCACCCGATATCACCAAAGAATTCTTTCACACTCATGATACATCCTTCTTAAACAGATCAGTTCCTATCGCTCTCCGAGCAGGGGACTTTGATAAATATTCCATGATGTGGATGCCTGCAGGAGATCAATGGCGGAAAATGAGAAGAATAACGAAAGAATACTTGTTCTCAGTTCTACAGCTAGATGCTAGGGAATTCCTACAACGGAAGAAGGTATGATATATAGGATGGATATGTTGATTGATTTCTATATGCATTATCTACGAGGAATTTGATTCTTATATAATGACATTCCCCGGAGATTCATACTAACATTTATTGGATAGAAATATAATCGATTATTCATCATATATGGTTACGAATTTAGATTTATTTATGCATGTCAATGGATATGGTTATGAATAGATGCTCTTATCTATACATAAATTTTTTAATATTCTAGGTACAAGAACTTCTCAATCATGTGGATGGATGTTGTAAAGACGAAAAGGCTTTGAACATAGGTGGAGCTGTGTTTACTACAGCTCTTAACATTCTCTCCAACTTCATGTTTTCTATTGATCTCGCTCAATTTGGTCTTGAGTCAGTGCAAGAATTCAAGGACGCAGTATGCGCTTTGCTGGAAGCTGGCGGAAAGCCGAGTCTACCAGACCTTTTCCCCATACTTAACTCATTCAATCTATTAGGGTTCCTACAAAAGGAAAATGTTAATGCTACGAAGTTACTGAGCATTTTTGATAAGATTATCAATGAGAGGTTGCAAACTAGATCGACTCTATATTCATATGATGGCGTTTCAACGAAGAACAGTGATGTTTTAGACTTGCTGCTCAACTTGAACCTAAAAGATGAATCCAGATTTACTCAAAATGATATGAGAATTTTATTTCTAGTAAGCAAATCCTTTTTATAGTACAGATTGAGTAATTTTCTTTCAAAACATTATCTCATACATTTTACAAATTATTATAGACATTATTTATTGCGGGAACTGACACGACATCGAGCACGGTGGAATGGGCGATGTCCGAACTCATTCTTAACCCACAGACAATGAAAACGGCTAGGTCAGAAATTATTAAACTCATGCAAAACAAAAATGAAAGCATACAAGAATATGATATCTCTCAACTCCCTTACCTACAAGCTGTGATAAAGGAGACTCTCAGACTACATCCTCCCGCCCCTTTTCTTATCCCTCGCGAAGCCATACATGATGTTGATGTTCATGGGTTCATGGTGCCTAAAAATGCACAAATCTTGTGTAACGTTTGGGCTATGGGTCGAGACCCAAACGTATGGTCAGACCCAGACATGTTCATCCCCGAGAGGTTTTTGGACACGAAGATCGACTATAGAGGCCAAGATTTCGAGCTTATTCCATTTGGTGCTGGGAGGAGGATTTGTCCAGGATTGAATCTTGCCAATAGAACATTACCTATCATATTGGGATCTTTGATTCATAAGTTTGATTGGAAGGTTGTGGGTCGACCAAAAGATATCGATATGGAGGAAACGTTTGCGATCACATTGCAAAAAGCTATACCACTCATGGCTTTCCCTATCAAAATATGATAGCGTTTAATTTTAGGTCTTTGTAGTTTTTTCTTAAATAAACGTTGAAAAGCATTCGTTTTACGTACTTTGATTTTATATGAAAACTCTTGTATTTGTATTGGTAAATAAAAATTTAAAGGAAATCTTTATTGGGCCCATAATTGTTGTATCCGTAAATAAGATCATAATTGTTGTATCCATAAATAAGATCATGTCTATGGAATGCACCATTACACAAATAAAGGACTTATCAGTGATAAAAGAACTATGTTCTATATTGATCGTTAAAGCGGTTCTTCATGTAAATTGATCAAAAAACCATTTGTAAATGTTTATGTATTATATCAAATTTTTGTATAGCGTCACTTCAGTTGAAGGAATTATTAGAACCCTTTCAAACATATTTTGGGTTCAGGAAAAAAAGAAAAAAAACACTTAAAATATATAAATTTCAACTACTATTTTTATATTAAATTAATAATTGAAAAAAATATTTATACTAGCTTCTAAATATAACATTTTCAATTATAAAAACACATATATTTAAAGAAAAATATTTCTTTTAGCTTTTTGGAATGTAAAATTGTGATAACCCGAAATTTCTATCTTGTAAAGCCATCAAATCCAACCAAAAGTCAGACTTAAGAACTTTGCCTTCTAGCCTTGTTAAAAGTCATTCTAAAGAGTTCTAAACCTAGTACACTTAAGGATTGAGTGTTATGAAATATTAGCTCGAGATTAGAAAGTCGCAATTAAGTCAGAAACTCCATCACCAGGAGTTTACGGCCACAAACTAGACTTTACAGCCGTAAACTCTTGATGGCCGAAAACTCTCCTCCTATATATATGAGAGCACTTCATTTCTTCACTCTTTTCCTTCCTTGGCCGAAATCCATTCAAACTCTCTCAAGTATCATCGAGTTCTTCATCCAAAACCTCTAAAAACGTAAGTGTTCTTCCCTCTAGTTGTTGTTATCTTTCTTAATCATGAGACACTTATCTTTCTTAATCATGAAACATTCTCTGATTTCATCCATGAAATCATCTCTTTTATGTTAGATCTTCAAATCATCATATTTCACCAAGAACACCAAGAACACACACTTGTTCTTGGTGGCCGAAAACTCCTCAAAGGCCCTCAAAAGTGTGAGTATTCCATCTATCATGTAGTTAGACATGTTAAACACTAGATCATAGTCTTGAAACATTATAAATCTCATCAACTTCAAGAGTTTACGACCGTAAACTCTTGGTTATGGCCGTAAACCCTTGTCTTGGTCATAACTTGAGCCTTAAACACTTCTAGACACTTGCTATCCATTAAGCACTCTTGAACCCCTTTGATTTAAGACCCAAATGACACCATTTAGAGAGTTTACGGCCATGCACTCTTGGTGTGGCCGTAAACACCTCAAAATCCTTCCAAAGAGTTAGTTTTGTTCATCCTCTTGTTGAGCAATAGTCCTTCAAGTTTCCCAATCATTCAAACATCCATTTATGCATATTTTACCATGAGTTTACGGCCGTAAACACCTAATGGTGGTCGTGAACACTCCTTTTATCAATCACATGTGATTCTACACTACATTCCAAGTGTACATTAGTCCCTTGGAGTGTTTCATTGCATGATAGTTGCCTTAAACACTAAATTCATGTCATTATATACCATATTATGTCATTTAGGACTCGGTTGTGTCTCGGGAATAAATCTGTGGAATTTCTCATCCTCACGCGCATATTCATTTGAATCACCCACATAAGGTGAGTTCATACCCCTATAATCACTCTTTTAAACTATGTTAAATGCTTTTAAAGGGGGAATACAAGTTGAACATAATGTTAATTGAGTAAATGTTTTGTTACAAACATATTTTAAAGGATTTCTTATGCATTATTAAGTAATCAAAACGTTTCAAAAACTCTTTTAAAGTTATGTTACTTTATAAATTACAAAACTCCATTTTTAAAATATAATCATAACTTAGTAGATAAAATGAGACTTTTCTTCAAGTCAATACCAGTCCCAATAAACATACTAGTAAACTATAATAGGTATAGTTTAGGGGTTCAGAACATACTAGTACAAGTACAGGGAGGAACATACTATTACAAGTACAGGAAGGATCATACAATAACAATAATAGACGAACAATTCAAGAATTACACACTTATACGATGTTTGTAGTACTCTAGGAAGACTTCGTATCCTTAACTCATTGTTTGTAACAAATTAAAGTGTTAATATATCTTTCTAAATTTGCGTTAACACCAATACGATTACACGTACCCGGGGTTAGTAAGGAACGAGGTGATAAAACACAATAATATTTTTTTTCTGGGTTTACGTTAACACCAATACGATTACACGTACCCGGGGTTAGCTGGCACAATGTGATAAAGCATAATAATATATTTTTCCGGGTTTGCATTAACACCAGTACGATTACACGTACCCGAGGTTAGCAGGCACGAGATGATAAAACATAATAATATATCTTTCCGAGTTTGCGTTAACACCAGTACGATTACACCTACCCGGGGTTAGCAGGCACGAGTTGATAAAACATAATAATATATCTTTTTGGGTTTGCGTTAACACAAGTACGATTACACGTACCCGTGGTTAGCATGCACGAGGTGATAAAAAATAATAATATATCTTTCCAGGTTTACGTTAACACTAGTACGATTACACGTACCTGGGTTAGCAGGCACGAGGTGATAAAATATAATAATATATATTTCCGGGTTTGCGTTAACACTAGTACGATTACACGTACCTGGGTTAGCAAGCACGATGTGATAAGCAATATATTGAATCGAAATTATTTATACAGAGTACAATTGTAAAGTACCTGACAGTGTTAAATAAAACATACAGTTATACACAAAACTTACATTAATATCGAATGAGTCGTCAAAGTACAAAGTTTCATTACTTCTAGTAGTCATCCAAACAATAGAACATTGAGTAAGCAAAAGTAGAAACCTACCAGTAAAGAGTTTAATCAATTTTGTTAAACTAGTATCACCTAAAGAACCTTAAGTGGTTTACTCTATAATACCTTGGGTTATACATCGGGGTTATATATAATTAATACCTGATATGTAGTTGGATGTGTGCTTCCCGCCTTACCCCCTGTTCCTTGTTTGGTTGTGGGCTTAGGGCAGATACGCACAATTAACTATCTGTTCGATATTGTATCATATATAACTTGTATAAACTAAGTGGTTATAGAAGGAACCAGTGTGGTTACCATTATTACTAAATAAAATAAGGGTTTTCCTTAAGAAATGTTTTCATCAAATACAAAGGAACTATTGCAATCAACTCCGTGAGTACCAAGTGAATACGACATGGTTATATACAAAAATGATCTAACAAACAATGGGAGATGTGCCTTCCGCCTCATTTCTTGTTCCTTGTTTGGTTGTGGGCTTAGGAAAGATACACATAATCGATTGTTTGTTTACTCTGGGTTTTATATAACTTGTATCCATTTAATACTCATAGAAACGATTGTAGAATCATTTTTACTTATCTTTCATCAAAGGAGGAAATATAGGATTTTCTAGAGGAACATGCGAACTTTTCTAAACAAAACTTACAACTTACTACAAATTTCTTACAACTTACTTACATCACTAAAATACTTATGAACTCACCAACTTAAATGCTGATCAACTGTAACATCCAAAAAATACAAGCCAAAAATTTCATTTTTAAATACGTCATTATAAAACCAACAGTGTAATAAAACATTTGTAATATCATGCCATGTCAAATCCAAAGTAGAAATAATTAAACATGTTATCATAAAACAATATCAGAGTGTAATCCCAAAGATCTCATGTGCGGAAAACCATAGTGTGATGCGCTGCAATCGAGCCGACTCCTTTCCTTTGAAAACGAAGTACCTGAAACCAAAACTAAAAACCGTAAGCACAAAGCTTAGTGAGCTCCCCCATCATACCACATACCATATAATCACATAACATACATATATTGTCAGGCATATCTGGGTGCCCGACCTACCCCTTCGGTCCTCTCGACCGGATACTGGCTAACATATCTGGGTGCTGGCCTCCCCTTCGATCCTCTCGACTGGATACTGACTAGCATATCTGGGTGCTGGTCTCCCTTTTAGTCCTCTCGACCGGATACTAGGGACTATTTCACCCTTACTACTACCACATAACACATATCACATAGTCTATCTAGCATGGCTGGGCATGACTACCCCTTCAGCTCTATCGACCGGTACTCTGGGGACTATCTCCCCTACTGTCACTAGCACATAGCATCATATCATACTAGCACATAATATATCAGGTAGTAGCAAACCTAGATGAATATCACATAGACAATCATCTAATCATACAACTCTTACTGATGGGTTGACATTGTAGCCGTAGACCCACCGCTACTGGAAGGTAACTCACCTCACACCACTGAAGTCCCGTAGATATAACCCCACATTGCTGAAGTCCCACAGACTTCACCCCAGCTGCTAGATGACAGATTTCCGAACGGTCAACACCAAAATAACACCCAATTAATAATTGGGTTCTAACACATAAACATAAATACATACTTGGGTAAATACTACTTTACCCCTAACTCAGCTTTATCCAAGCCCAAGGCCCAATCCTAATGCCCAAAAGTCAACTATGAGTCAAAGCCCAACATATGACCCAATTTTTTAAATTGGGCCCAAACCCTTACAAGGTCTTATCATAAGGTCCAACCATTTAGTCCAGTCCAACATTGAACATTCTAATGGCCCAATATCATATAACCATAAAGGCCCAAACTATGGCCCATATATAGCCCAATTTTCCAAATTAGGCCCAACTCCTCATATGGGCCTTACCACAAAGCCCATTAATCATTCTAGTCCATTTGCTTGATCTTGGATGGCCCATTTATAACCCAATCATCAAGGCCCAAATGAAAGGTCCAATAATAAATCCAAGTGAAATTAGGGTTTCACATGAAGTGATGATTAGGGTTAAGT